AGAATATATTTAAATCAACTTTTAAAAAAGTTCGAATCCTGCGCGTCTCACTTTTTAAATTTTCCAAATGGAAAATTATATTCTCCTAAAACGAAAACAATTTTCCGAATTGACATCCTTAAATAAAACTATCCTTATTATCTTTTATTGTATTTGGGGATGAATGTGTAGAGCATGCTTAAAATCATTTCTTGATTTGTTTTTTGGTCAACCAAAAATCAGATGGCATATGAAACCGATTAATAGATATTTTTGATAGAATGATGGCGAAACAAAGCCCGTTTTTCTTCTATTTTTCATAAAATTTAAGTGACTAACTTATTTTACCAAAAAAAATTGAGAAAAAACCTATTGATGGAGCTGTTAAAGTACTTTTATCTCATCATCTAATAAGGTGAAATGGGAATTCTCTATAGAAATATGCATCCAGATGGAATACTATATATTGCTTGTTTATTTATGCAGAATGAAAACATATTTATCTGCATGAAAAACCGAAATTTTACTGCTATATAAAATTTTGAAAAAAAGGTAATATATTTTGAAAGTAAAAAAGTGGCATCTGAGTATATTGTTTCTGCCTTATTTGGTCAATGAAACAGAATTGATCCACATCATTATTATACAGTAATGATATACTGTGGGATGAAGAAGATTGATATTACAGGAATCTAATTATTCGAAGTTCAACTCATCATATCTTGTATTAAAATTTATACCGTTATATTTTCAAAATATTACAACAGTAGCAATCCCATACATAGCCAATGATAATTCAATAACGATTTTATCTTAATAGAATTTAAATCAATACTGAAACAGCAGATTGGCAAGTCATAATATTATAATACTATACATACTACTTGGTAATAAAAATCTCAAAGATCTTAGCATAACTTTTGTTTGATTATGAGATACAGACCCTACGTAGCTCCCACAACTCCAAATGTCACTAACTGATCAGAAGCCTATGATAAGAGATCTAAATACGCAAATTTAATGCGCATTTTATTTAGATGAATTATCGAAATACAAACATAATATATATCTCTAACTTACCTTTGAATAAAATCCTGATTTTGTTGATTAACTTCCAGAGATTTACTAAGTTTTTGAAACATATGAAACAATTCCTTAATTTGATCCTGTAAAATCGTTATATCACTTTCTTGCCTTAATAATATATATAAATTTATTATGTACATGTATTTTAATCAGTTTTCGTTGATTCGAATATTGTCACAAAGTTCCAACATTAAAATAGTAATACAAATTTGTTCTATTATTGACATATTTTAGGATAAATATATAATTTGATAAAAATAAAATGTATCTGTCGATTTTAAAAACAATGAAATCTCTTTGTTCCTCTATTAATTTTGAATTTTCAAAATTTTTAACCTCAATTTTCCAAAAAAAAATCGAGAATTGTAAAAAACGTTTTCCATTTCTAGAAATTTGATATGGCGTTTTCCAAAATGAAAAAAATTTGGAAAAAATCATCAAGGAAAACTTCATTCTAGATACCCAAGGCAATAGCTTTCAGTCAAAAAACACCCGAAAAATTTAAATATTGATATCGATTTTCTTCAAGCACTTAATATCGATTGTTTACAGTTAAGCGGTTTGCAACTTTTTAAATTCTAATATATTTGAACATACTATACTTAACTTTGGAAAATTATCAAAATTTCTTTCAATTTAACTATAATCCAATTATCATACACTGCAAATGATTCCACAATCTTATCGTAAGAAGGAATGCTTGATGTGATTGAGGATCTAACGATTTATTTACCTAATTCTATTTTTTCTTAAATTAAAAATCCTTATTATTGCATGATTTTTGTGCGGTGGTAGGGGAAAAACCAAAAATGGTGCTTCAAAGTATTCCTGAAAGCAGTTTAATTAATAAATAATTTCCTTTCTTATCATCGAATTTTGCTCTTCTTAAGCGATCAGATTCGTTTTATTTTCATAATACAATTCAATTCCCTTATTGGTAAGCAAAGTAAGGATATATAACAAACTGATAATCTTTTATCGAAATTAAACAGAAGTCATTCTATGAGCTCATACACACTATTACTATGTTTCATATGCTGAGCATAATGAGAACAATTCTGGTCGTTATCTTGTTGTCGTTGATTATAAAAACAGAATAAAAATACTTTATTACCGCTCACTTTTTTCTCATATCGAATCCAGAACATTCATATTTCTCTTCATTCGTCTTGAGGGACTTTACAACCCAATTCCACATAGCCAAGTAATTCATTTCTCATTCTAATTTTTCACCAAGAAGGATCAGATTTCAACGTAATTTCAGTTTAAGTCTTGATTTTGAATGAGACATTAGAACATTTCCACCTAACTACTTTCCTTCAAAAAGAACATAAATTACCTCTCCTTAGTGTTCTATGTTCCTCAATTAATTTACAAATTTCCGAATTTTAACACAACCATTTACTTTTTATGATTTTCGTTTAGTGGTATTCAGATATGCACGAAATTACGTTCTTGTATACAGATTAATCATTTGCGTTATTTTTTTGTATTCCTTTGAGCGGATATTAGATAAAACCTATCTTACAATCGACTTACTCGCACAAAATTTTGTTGTTGTTAGACTAACCTCGTAATGATTTTTATTTTCATATCGTTTACTTAATTTTTATGGGATACAGTACCAAAACTATACTCAAAATATCCCATCAATACATATTTCATATCAGCATTAACAATTCTCGTAAGCCTTTAGCAATTTTCCAAACTCTTCAAGACGGCTAATCCACTTGCCGATACATACGAATTCACATCTTAAATTCTTTTTAAAATATGTTTAGATTACATTTTATTTTTTTTTCGATTTGAAACTTATTGAAATACTAAACGTTCAACTAAGATATTCGTCGAAATTGAACACACCCGTATTGATCACAGCTTTATCGTTTTACAACTATAAGACTACAAAATTCTCCTTTATGCAAAAAGGAAGATTATTTTTTTTTTTTTATTTCTTTTTCTCGAAACAGTTTTAAGTTCAGTAATTCAATAAAAGTTTAATTTTATCGTTGCTTTATTTAATACATATTTATTGCTTTCTATTGTTTCATTTGAAATTGTAGATGAAAATGAGCATAATTCAAAAAACATGTGCTTTTCTAAATACAAGAAACCATTTTGAAATTCTATTTTCCTTGATATTCGCAAAAATAATTATAAATCTTTCCCTGTTTTGAAATATCACTCACAACACGTTAATATGGCCGAAAATCTCTTACAACGCATTGTTTCTTGTATTTTGCTGCTTGATGAAAATTATTTTCGACGTTCAATCAAGAATTCTGAATTTAAGTGCACCTGAAGAAACGCCATGTAGCATATATAAAATTAACTTTTACAAAAAGATTTATTTTGATTGTCATTCACTATAAAGAAAATCTTTACCTCAAAATATTTGAAATAAGCTCAGAATTTCTTAATGATTTTGTATTGAATTTGATTTTGAGAAGAAATTTTAAATATATTACAAGATATTTATAAATCATTCAAAATAAAACAATATGAAAATTAACGATAATAATCAAAAGTTTAATAAAAGATATATTTCCCACTTTAGAACATAAATATCGGCATTTACAAATATTTCATTGAATTAAAAAATGATTAATTTTAAAAGAAAAACTCCTATTCAAATGAACCCGTAATAAAATACTTTCGATCATAAACATAAATAAAACTATATATCTTTCAACTTTCTTAAATTCGATTTAGTTTTTGGTTTTCAATTTAAATTGAATTCCGATAAATACCATACTCTATTCTTATCAAAACTAACGATTTTAATATTTTTAAAAGTAACAATTTAGACGTCAATTCAATATTTTATTTTTTGAATTTCCTCACAAATTTCAAATCTTATATCCCTCTCTTCATACCCACTTATTTTTTCATTATTTTTCTGCTAGAAATGCCCAATATGGAAACAAGAATCCAAATTTCGATAAATTTATGTCATGGCTTCAATTTCAGCCGTGATTTAGATTTAATCAATTTGTTTTCATATATATATTGATTAATCACACTATCTCCCAAGGAACCTGATCATAAAGAATCAATCTGTTCGATTGCTCTTATTTTTAGTTTTTGAAATACCTTACATAAATCGATTCATATAATTTTTATGTCGATTTTATTTTCTTACGGGTCTCAATTCTTGAATAAAGAATACCGTAACAAATTAAAATAGATAAACCACAATATCTTTTATATATATCTCAATCAAAATCTTCAAAAAGACAACATTTTTTACTTTTTTAAAAGATTACCCGGAATTCGCAATTTTCGAATTAGAATTAGTTTTATCTCTTGATTTTATTCCGAAATACCCAATGATATCCAATAATAAAAATATTATTTTTCGATTTTATGATTAATAGTCCATTTTCTCATGATTTTTATCTTATTAATACCTAAGATACAACGCTCATCTATATCACATTCTTACATCCTTCCATTTTTCAACTAATTCCTTTGTTTTCAAAAACAATGCTAGGAAATAAAAGTTCTTTTTTGTATTTCCTATTATTATCATGATTGCAAAAAGGTTTGTACAAGGATTTTCGAGCAGTTACCTTTATACAACGATTTCATATTCAAATATAAATAAAATAGATCATTTTGTAAACGAGAATGCCCATTTGGATCTTACATATTATGTAATTCATAAAATGAAATACCAAAAAGATATATTTAAACTTCATTTTCTAGGAAAATTTCATATATTTATAGGCATTCTATATATCGAACTATATTTAACTCCGCTTCTGTCAACTAATACTAATATCCTACATTACAAATTACTTTATATAGAGTTTATTATTATTATATTAATAATTTACTCAATAATATCACTCCGGCTTGTTATTGAATAATCATTTTGTTCTAAAACAAAACAAATATACTAAATTATTTATTAAAAAATGAAAACAAATACTTTAATTCTCATGGAAGTTAAGGAGGCAAGATAATTCCATAGGATCAAATGTGGAAGATGGGAGATCCATTTTTGAGTTCAAAATCTGATTCAACTCAGTCTCAACTTTTCTTGATCTCCTCTTAAATATCTTTTTTGCATCATTTTTCTTTTCATCTAAAATCTTGGTTACTAAAGACCAGTTTTCAGCATACCAACATAGCATAGCCTTGCGGTTCCTCTTTGCAAGTCTATCAAGAGGAACATGATACTTCTGCTCAACGATCTTTGCAATCGATGTTAAAATTTCAATATTAACATGAGTGCCAAAGGACTTGTCAACATAGGAGTTCACGAAGTCAACCTTTGATCCCATGTTTACTATTCTCTTCTGGATCTTTTCATAGTCACGCTGGGACTGAGCAGTAAGTCTCTTGCACTTTGGGTGGGCATCAACATGTGGAAGATTAAAGTACTGTGTACTCTGAAGCATCATGTCTTTAATCAATCTTATCAAAAAATGATTTTCTGAACTTATGAAAATTTCATAATTAGAAAATTCGTTTTCAGTAACGGTAATCATACATATCTAATCATAATTTCGTTTCTTAATTTTTAACAAGTTGAATTCTCATACCTTTGTTTATTTTCTCAGGTATATTGAATTTTCCCTATTCAAATACAGAATTCCAACACTCTGAATTGCATTGGGAAGTATTCTTGCAGTACTCATTTCTGGAAGTAAGAATAACAAAGAATTTATATGAGATCATTACGGCTTATCTCAAATTTAAATTGACAAAGCTTTTGAAAATATAAATACGAAAATAACACGAATATTTCTGCCAGTACCCTCTCCTTGGACTCAATAATATTTCTTAATTAAAAGCCCTTTTGCTCATGTGCAAGATTAAACTTGTTCCATTCAAAATTTTACGGCGGAGGTTTTTGTGATATGGAAAAATGTTCGTTGCTCAATTATCTCACTATTGGATGGACTTTTATCGAGCGAAATTTTGGCTGTAAAGACAATTCTGATATTGGTAACATGGTGATAAGAACAAATAGTCAGTTTGCATGGTTTATGATGAGATAATTTCGATTTAAAAAAAAACATAAAAATTGATTTTAATGAGCGATTATATTTGAATATGCTCTCCTAATTTGAAGGAACTGGTTAAATCATGAATTGATCATGAATAATTTTTTTTCAAAATAACAATTATAATTTCATATTCATTATAAGTTGAAAATATATCATAAAGACTTTATGAATGATAAATTCCTAAAAAACAAGTTAGTTTGTTTCTGAAAATAATAATAATAAAAACCAATTTAGACCCAATAATTTTTGGCGGGATAATTGAGATGTTACGATTGAATTAAAAAAAGCGGTAATACATTTTTACAATGATGAAGAGGCTGGCAACCTCTGAGTCAAAGCACTTGTTAATGCAATGATGAAGAGGCTGGCAACCTCTGAGTCAAAGCACTTGTTAATGCAATGATGAAGAGGCTGGCAACCTCTGAGTCAAAGCACTTGTTAATGCAATGATGAAGAGGCTGGCAACCTCTAAGTCAAAGCACTTGTTAATGCAATGATGAAGAGGCTGGCAACCTCTGAGTCAAAGCACTTGTTAATGCAATGATGAAGAGGCTGGCAACCTCTGAGTCAAAGCACTTGTTAATGCAATGATGAAGAGGCTGGCAACCTCTGAGTCAAAGCACTTGTTAATGCAATGATGAAGAGGCTGGCAACCTCTAAGTCAAAGCACTTGTTAATGCAATGATGAAGAGGTTGGCAACCTCTGAGTCAAAGCACTTGTTAATGCAATGATGAAGAGGCTGGCAACCTCTGAGTCAAAGCACTTGTTAATGCAATGATGAAGAGGCTGGCAACCTCTGAGTCAAAGCACTTGTTAATGCAATGATGAAGAGGCTGGCAACCTCTAAGTCAAAGCACTTGTTAATGCAATGATGAAGAGGTTGGCAACCTCTGAGTCAAAGCACTTGTTAATGCAATGATGAAGAGGCTGGCAACCTCTGAGTCAAAGCACTTGTTAATGCAATGACGAAGAGGCTGGCAACATCTGAGTTAAAATACTTTTCCCAGTGTGGGAGTAATTTGAAAAAAAAAAATTTAGTTCATATATTGAAAAAAACAAAAGTAAAAATTAAAGTTTATAGGTTGTGTTTTGATGAGCTAATTGTTAAGATATTGTAGTTCTAAAGAAAAATTGGAGTTTCGAGGAAGTTTTTCGACAGAGGAAACTTTCATATCGAATGTTGCCTCTGTCGAGATGTATGTGACAGGCAAAGTGCAATCACCTATCAATATTGCACTTTGCCTGTCAAAAGTTCTTCGCATCTCTTGAGGTGTGAGGAAGTTTCTCGACAGAGGAAACTTTCATATCGAATGTTGCCTCTGTCGAGATGTATGTGACAGGCAGAGTGCAATCACCTATCAATATTGCACTTTGCCTGTCAAAAGTTCTTCGCATCTCTTGAGGTGTGAGGAAGTTTCTCGACAGAGGAAACTTTCATATCGAATGTTGCCTCTGTCGAGATGTATGTGACAGGCAGAGTGCAATCACCTATCAATATTGCACTTTGCCTGTCAAAAGTTCTTCGCATCTCTTGAGGTGTGAGGAAGTTTCTCGACAGAGGAAACTTTCATATCGAATGTTGCCTCTGTCGAGATGTATGTGACAGGCAGAGTGCAATCACCTATCAATATTGCACTTTGCCTGTCAAAAGTTCTTCGCATCTCTTGAGGTGTGAGGAAGTTTCTCGACAGAGGAAACTTTCATATCGAATGTTGCCTCTGTCGAGATGTATGTGACAGGCAGAGTGCAATCACCTATCAATATTGCACTTTGCCTGTCAAAAGTTCTTCGCATCTCTTGAGGTGTGAGGAAGTTTCTCGACAGAGGAAACTTTCATATCGAATGTTGCCTCTGTCGAGATGTATGTGACAGGCAGAGTGCAATCACCTATCAATATTGCACTTTGCCTGTCAAAAGTTCTTCGCATCTCTTGAGGTGTGAGGAAGTTTCTCGACAGAGGAAACTTTCATATCGAATGTTGCCTCTGTCGAGATGTATGTGACAGGCAGAGTGCAATCACCTATCAATATTGCACTTTGCCTGTCAAAAGTTCTTCGCATCTCTTGAGGTGTGAGGAAGTTTCTCGACAGAGGAAACTTTCATATCGAATGTTGCCTCTGTCGAGATGTATGTGACAGGCAGAGTGCAATCACCTATCAATATTGCACTTTGCCTGTCAAAAGTTCTTCGCATCTCTTGAGGTGTGAGGAATTTTCTCGACAGAGGAAACTTTCATATCGAATGTTGCCTCTGTCGAGATGTATGTGACAGGCAGAGTGCAATCACCTATCAATATTGCACTTTGCCTGTCAAAAGTTCTTCGCATCTCTTGAGGTGTGAGGAAGTTTCTCGACAGAGGAAACTTTCATATCGAATGTTGCCTCTGTCGAGATGTATGTGACAGGCAAAGTGCAATCACCTATCAATATTGCACTTTGCCTGTCAAAAGTTCTTCGCATCTCTTGAGGTGTGAGGAAGTTTCTCGACAGAGGAAACTTTCATATCGAATGTTGCCTCTGTCGAGATGTATGTGACAGGCAGAGTGCAATCACCTATCAATATTGCACTTTGCCTGTCAAAAGTTCTTCGCATCTCTTGAGGTGTGAGGAAGTTTCTCGACAGAGGAAACTTTCATATCGAATGTTGCCTCTGTCGAGATGTATGTGACAGGCAAAGTGCAATCACCTATCAATATTGCACTTTGCCTGTCAAAAGTTCTTCGCATCTCTTGAGGTGCGAGGAAGTTTCTCGACAGAGGAAACTTTCATATCGAATGTTGCCTCTGTCGAGATGTATGTGACAGGCAGAGTGCAATCACCTATCAATATTGCACTTTGCCTGTCAAAAGTTCTTCGCATCTCTTGAGGTGTGAGGAAGTTTCTCGACAGAGGAAACTTTCATATCGAATGTTGCCTCTGTCGAGATGTATGTGACAGGCAGAGAGAAGTTTTTTTGAAGAAGTTCCATAAAATAAATTCGATATGGAAGTTCTTCCTCGACAGACCGATTTTACAAAGTGATAAAAACATATAGAAGTTCTTCCGAATTTTACAAAGTCAAGAGATGTATGTGACAGGCAACATTCGATATGAAAGTTTCCTCTGTCGAGAAACTTCCTCACACCTCAAGAGATGCGAAGAACTTTTGACAGGCAAAGTGCAATATTGATAGGTGATTGCACTCTGCCTGTCACATACATCTCGACAGAGGCAACATTCGATATGAAAGTTTCCTCTGTCGAGAAACTTCCTCACACCTCAAGAGATGCGAAGAACTTTTGACAGGCAAAGTGCAATATTGATAGGTGATTGCACTCTGCCTGTCACATACATCTCGACAGAGGCAACATTCGATATGAAAGTTTCCTCTGTCGAGAAACTTCCTCACACCTCAAGAGATGCGAAGAACTTTTGACAGGCAAAGTGCAATATTGATAGGTGATTGCACTCTGCCTGTCACATACATCTCGACAGAGGCAACATTCGATATGAAAGTTTCCTCTGTCGAGAAACTTCCTCACACCTCAAGAGATGCGAAGAACTTTTGACAGGCAAAGTGCAATATTGATAGGTGATTGCACTTTGCCTGTCACATACATCTCGACAGAGGCAACATTCGATATGAAAGTTTCCTCTGTCGAGAAACTTCCTCACACCTCAAGAGATGCGAAGAACTTTTGACAGGCAAAGTGCAATATTGATAGGTGATTGCACTCTGCCTGTCACATACATCTCGACAGAGGCAACATTCGATATGAAAGTTTCCTCTGTCGAGAAACTTCCTCACACCTCAAGAGATGCGAAGAACTTTTGACAGGCAAAGTGCAATATTGATAGGTGATTGCACTCTGCCTGTCACATACATCTCGACAGAGGCAACATTCGATATGAAAGTTTCCTCTGTCGAGAAACTTCCTCACACCTCAAGAGATGCGAAGAACTTTTGACAGGCAAAGTGCAATATTGATAGGTGATTGCACTTTGCCTGTCACATACATCTCGACAGAGGCAACATTCGATATGAAAGTTTCCTCTGTCGAGAAACTTCCTCACACCTCAAGAGATGCGAAGAACTTTTGACAGGCAAAGTGCAATATTGATAGGTGATTGCACTCTGCCTGTCACATACATCTCGACAGAGGCAACATTCGATATGAAAGTTTCCTCTGTCGAGAAACTTCCTCACACCTCAAGAGATGCGAAGAACTTTTGACAGGCAAAGTGCAATATTGATAGGTGATTGCACTCTGCCTGTCACATACATCTCGACAGAGGCAACATTCGATATGAAAGTTTCCTCTGTCGAGAAACTTCCTCACACCTCAAGAGATGCGAAGAACTTTTGACAGGCAAAGTGCAATATTGATAGGTGATTGCACTCTGCCTGT